ACAATAAATATAATCAAAACACGCACCAGAACCGTTTTATTGTATTTTCAATCTAGTTGGTTAATCAAAATTCGTTTTTTGATATGCCGTGTTTTATTTCTGATAATTGAAAAAGAATGGGAAAATCATAAAAAGAACGATTTGACGTCACAGATTCGTACGCCTCGGTGGCGGCCGTATATCAGGTACGAATTGATAGTATTTTGTTACGGCGTAAATTATCACATGCATTCCTCTTGTGATAACGAGTTTTCTTTTTGTATTCGAAGTCTATTGAAACTATCAAATCATTTTTTCGTATTTAACGACTGATTTGATTTACAAAATTTAATTTGATGGAATGACGAAACAACGATCTAAAAAAAACAGTTTATTAGTTATTTTTTTTTATAATGTTCATGAGTTTTTTAATTATTATTTATTAAATTCGTTTTGCGTATGAGTATATTATATTTTGACATTAAGATAATATATTGATACAATAACACATTCTTAATATTTTTATAACACAAGCGTATATTTCAAACAACTTTACAACCTAACTGTGAAATTTTTAAGAGAATATAAATCCCCAAAGGACCATCCAATTCATAAAATTGTCTACGTTTAAAAAATTAAAGTATGACAAAAAAATGTATATCACCAAAATTCGCCTGAAACGGTGAATTGTAATATTGCGCGTGAAGTCACAGATTCGTACACCTCCTTTGCTGCGGTACGGCAGTAAGGGTGAGGTAGGGTACATAATGCACCACTCTTCCCGTTTAACACATTCCGGTTTATAAAACATTTGGTTAAAAATGTATAATAAAAATAACAATTATATTATAATACACCACAGTCATAATGTCTGATTGTGTCGCACTGTTCAATGCATTATTCTTTCATTGGTTGCAACCAACATATTTAGCTTTGAGACTTGTAAAAGCATTGTCAAACAGATCATTCGCACGATTGGTAGATCACTGGTGTAGGTGATAAAATAGGATGGAAGAAGGAAAATTTAATGTAAATCTGTACGCAACGATAAAGAATTGTTAAGGAAAATACGATTTTGAGCGAAGTTCGGTTGATAGTGATGCTTTGTTAATGTATGTACATTATGGTAAAATGATGACACATGATTTAAAATTTTTCTTTAAAACGATTTTTTTGATATTGTACGTATTTTCCCATTCTTCTTACGCTTTGTCACGGTTTTTCCAATATTTTTATGAGGCTGGGAACATAAAAAATGACATCATTAAAGTTACAAATACCAACGCAGTCAAATTTTATTTCAAAAAAAATTTAAGTAAAATAGTTCACAGAAAATAAAGAGCTACGAGAGGAAATATAAAATATTTTAAGAACTTTAAAATAAAAATTAATTGAAACAATTTTAATACAATTATGTCGATTGTAACACAGTAAAATATATCATTCAAAATAGTATCATTCTTTTAAATTATTTGCCAGTTTTGCTCAATTATTAATAAAACAATCCAGATTATTAGAAAACGACTCTCTTAATAACTTACAAAATAAAAATAAAACAAAAAGTGTTCTTTCGTATTTTATGATTAGAACTATATTTATTGTAGAAAACATACATTTTAAAAAACAGTTTTGCTTACGTGCAGCAAGGAGCACTAAAAACAGTGAAGAGTCGGAAAGGACAAACACGCCCAAAAATGATTTTGGGTACCAGGGGAGCATGTGGTATGACGTCGTTGCCACCGTTCGGTGTACTGTCTTTCGCGATGTGTGCCGACGGTGGCACGGGGCGGTTCATGTATGATAAGAGCACGTATTTAAAAATTAGAACATAATTAATATTATGCTAGTAATATTCTCTAAAAAAATGAGCAAAATAACCAAAACTATATTCTTAAACCAAAAAATTCTCTTAAAAAATTTCGCAAGACGTTAATATTTTTCGAGATAATTAATGTATTCACCTAAACGGATCAGTTGGTTTACGGCCGCCGCCAAGGCGTACGAATCAATGACGTCACGCGCAATATTACAAATCGTCATATCTATAGTTTGATACTATTTATCTATAGTATTCATAGATATTTATAGTTAGCGAACCTATAGTCGAATACAAACAAATTTTAGTGACATAAATTTTCAAAAAAATGTTCATTACCTATAGGTAATTTACGTTCTACCGAAAACGGAGAAACATTGCCGTGTATTATACCGGGTGATCACTTTAAGTGGGTACTCTCATCTCATTAACACGGAAAATATTATCTTTATTCGAAATCTGTTTTATAAAACATTTTAAAAACAATCTGGTGTATAATATTGTACTTATATTATTTTTTGTCACCATTATTTACAGATTTGTTACAGGTAACATAGACGAACAATACGATATTGTTATCAAAATATATCAAATTCGGTGAATTGGCGGGAATAGTTGTAACTTTTCTACAACGGCACTTCGACGTTGTTCTGCATGTACTCCTGGTACCCAAAAACAATTTTCGACCCACTCGAATGTCCTTTCCGCCTCTTCATATTTGCCACTCATTGTCAAAAAATAATTTTTACGGTTTAGGTTATCTACAAAAAATATAGCTAAAATCTAAACACGCAGAAGAACTTTTTTGTTGTGTTTTGAATTAAGTCGGTTAATAAAAAAGTAGTTTTTTGATTTGCCGAGTTGTATTCCTAATAGTTAGAAAAGAATGGGAAAAAAGTAGAAAGAACGATTTCGCGTCACATATTCGTACGCCTCAGCGGCATCCGTATACTATGTGATTTATTTGGGTACACTCAACTTATCTCGAATAGTATTAACATTTTTTGAATTTTGTTTTATAGAACATTCAAGAAACAAGCTGCTCTATAATTTTATGTTTGTGTTTTTTTTTAGCAGCTCTATAATCTTAATTTTGTGTTATTTTTTGTCACTCTTAATTCTGAGAGTAAAACCACTACTTATTTTTGATTTTTAGTTAATGTCTTATAATAAAAATTCCATAAATAGATGTTGTAGTAGTTGAAATAAATTTAATTGTTGAAATTTTTTATTTTTGACGAAAAAATTTGATATCACCAAAGTTCGTTTGTATTCGACCATAAGACGCTAGGGACGCTAGAGACGGCGATTTATAATATTGAGCGTGACGTCACATATTCGTACGCCTCGCGAAAACGGTGCGGTTGGCGGTGTTTTAACAATGCACTACTACTCCCGTCCTAACTGAATTTTAAAGTGGAATATCTCGTCAACGGTTTGACAGAAATAAAAAATGTCAACACTCAAATTTATTTTAGGTAATACTACATCAATAATAGGAATTGTTTGTAATGGTCGTCAAAAGAAATTCAAGAATAAGTAGTTTTACAATTAAAAATATGGGTGACAAAAAATAACACAAATTTAAAATTATAGAGCTGCTTGTTTCATGAATGTTCTAGATAACGAAATTCAAAAAATGTTAATACTTTTCGAGAAAATGAGTGTACCTATATATAACACCTTGTATATGGTAGACGCCGAGGCGTACGAATATGTGGATTCAAATCGTTCTTTTTACGTTTTGTCACAGTCTTATTTAGTTATTAAGAAATCCACCTTACATATTAAAAAGCGACTTTTTTTTATTATTATTAGCCAACTAGATTCAAAATACAACAAAAAAGGTCTTCTGCGTGTTTTGATTTGATCTATATCTATTTTAGAAATCGGAAACCGGAAAAATTATTTTTTACCACAAGTTGCAAAAATGAAGAGTCGGTAAGGATAGCCGAGCAGGCCGAAAAGTTATTTTGGGCGCACCAGGGGTGCATGCAGTAGAACGTTGATGCAGCGTCGCAACACCGTACGTTCGTTATTGCAGTCCCACAGTGAGTAGCGGCGGCATCAGTTTCTGTGTTGGGTCCATCGTTTTGTCAGGTGGGTAGGGGATGTAAAGATCAAAATCGAAAACAACTTCATTGTCAGAAAACGAGCTTAAAGGAAAAATATTTGCAAAATTGCCGGTATAAGAGTTTTTCACAGAAAAAAAAAATTATATATCATTTTAAACCAATATATTTTTCGTTCCGTTCGGAATCTAAAAATTGGGTAGGTTTCAATATACATTTAGGTACTTTCAGAATTTTAGAATTTCAAAGCTAGAGAGCAAAAGTCGAAAATAATAACACCAAAACAAAGCAAAAGAAAAATCTGGGGGATACACTTTAAATATATTTTTTTTTATTTTTTCAATAGGGGACACGGCCTAAAGAAAATAATTACATAAATTTTTCATTATATAACAATACGCACAGATAACATAGACTAACGATACGGTATGGTTAATAAAATATAACAAATTCGGTGAGTTGGCGGGAGTATTATGACATAATTATTCCTTGTGGCCGTAGTCGTTGTCCGCATGCTATCCTGGTACACAAAATCAATTTTCAACCTGCTCGGCTGTCCTTTCCGACTCTTCATTTTTGCCACTCGCAGTCAAAACTAATTTTTACGGTTTATGTTTTCTACAATAGCTATAATCTAAACAAGCAAAAGACTTTTTTTGTTGCGTTTTAAATCTAGTCTGTTCATAAAAAAGTCGTATTTTGATATTCCATGTTGTTTTCTTAATAATTGAAAAAGACTGCGAATAATAAAAGAACAATTTTTTACAATTTTGTTTCGGCTCAAATTATCACATGCTTTCCTTATGTGATAACGAGTATCGTTTTGTATTCGAAGTCTATTAAAATAAACAAATCCTTCATTCTTGATGACCGTTGTACACTGATTTACAAATTTCAACTTATAAAATGCCAAAACAACGATCTACAAAAAATCAGTTTATAAGTATTATTTTAATAATGTTCTGGTTTTTGTTAATATTATTAATTAAATTTGTTTTGTATATAAAAATACATTTTTGCATATTTTACTAATATTTTCATATTATAAGCACATATTTCAAATAACCTTTCGACCTAACCTTGTAATTTTTAGGAGTACATTAATCCAAAAGAACCATTTTTTCAACAAATGTCCTATGGTTTTAATGTTAGTACATTTTACGACAAAAAAATTGATATCATCAAAAGTTATTTGTATTCGACCATAAGTTTGCTAGATGCGGCGATTTGTGATATTCCGGGTGACGTCACAGATTCGTACACCTCGGCGGCAGCGGAACGGCAGTACGGCGCGCATGAACACTAAAAACAGTGAAGAGTCGGAAAGGACAAACGAGCCCAAAAATGATTTTGGGTACCAGGGGAGCATGTAGTATGACGTCGTTGCCACCGTTCCGTATACTGTCTTTCGCGATGTGTGCCGGCGGTGGCACGGGGCGGTTCATGTATGATAAGAGCACGTATTTAAAAATTACAACATAATATTATGCTAGTAATATTCTCTAAAAAAATGAGCAAAAAAACCAAAACTATATTTTCAAACCAAAAAATTCTCTTAAAAAATTTCGCAAGACGTTAATATTTTTCGAGATAATTAATGTATTCACCTAAACGGATTAGCTGGTTTACGGCTGCCGTCAAGGCGTACGAATCTATGATGTCACGCGCAATATTAAAAATCGTCGTATTTATAGTTTGATACTATTTATCTATAGTATCCATAGATATTTATAGTTAGCGAACCTATAGTAGTATAAAAATAAATTTTGTATAATAAATTTTGATAATATATTATCAATTTTTTAAAAAAAAGTTCATTACTTATGGGTAATTTACGTTAAACCAAAATCGGTTAACTTTAACTTTATTTATTTATTAACTTTATTCGAAATCTGTTTTATAGAATATTTTAAAATCAATCAGGTGTATAAATTTGTATTTATATTATTTTTTGTCCCTCTTATTTAGAGATTTGTTACAGGTAAAATAGACTAACAATACGATATCATTATCAAAATACATCAAATTCGGTGAATTGGCGGGAATAGTTGTACCTTTTCCACAACGGCACATCGACGTTGTTCTGCATGCGCTCCTGGTACCCAATAACAATTATCGACCCACTCGAAGCCAAAACAAATTTTTCCAGTTTTTGTTTTCTACAATAAATAAAGTTACAATTAAAACACAAAGAAGACGTTTTTGGTAGTGTTTTGAATCTAGTTGGTTAATAATAAAGTCATTTTTTGATATGCCGTGTTGTTTTCCTAATAATTGAAAAAGACTGGGTAAAAACGTAAAAAAAAACGATTTGACGTCACAGATTCGTACGCTTCGGCAGTATATTGAATGCCGAATATATATATATATGCCGAAGTATATATATTCGAATATACAAGGTGGTTCACTTATTAGCTCGAAAATTATTATTATTTGGCGAATTTTGATAGCTAGAACATTTAAGAAACAAGCAGCTCTATAATTTGAAATTTGTGTTATTTTTTGTCATTCTTAATTCTGAGTGTAAATCCAATACCTTTTTTTTGATTTTCAGTTGAAGAACTATAATAAAAAAATCCATAAATAGATGTATTAGTAGTTTAAATAAATTTAAGTGTTGAAATTTTTTATTTCTAACCAAAGAATTGATATCACTAAAAATCATTTGTATTCGACCATAAGGACGCTGGAAACGGCAATTTGAAATATTGCGCGTTAAGTCACATATTTGTATGCCTTGGCGGCGGCTGTACGGCGGTACGCTGTTGGGTGTGTTAATAATGCACCACTACTCCCCTTCAAGCAAAACTTAAAAGTGGAATATCACGTCAACGGTTTGACAGAAATAAAAAATTTCAACACTCAAATTTATTTCCATTAGAAATACATCTATGGAATTTATATAATTTATAAGTCGTCTACTGAAAATCAAAAATAGGTAGTG